AAAGAATGCCTATTTTCAACTTCATTAAATATTGCAATATTGTTCACAAAGTTGTTTCTTCTAAATAAATTTACCTTCCCACCAGTTATGTACACTTGGCATTATTAAAATTCAAACCTTTTTCCAATCTAATGGCTATAAAATGGGATCTCATTGTTGTAATTTGCGTTGGTTTTTTTCCATAAGCTTATTGGCTATTTGGATTCCCTTTTCTGAAAATTGATATTCTTTGCCCATTTTTCTGTTGGACGGTTTGGCTTTCTTACTAATTAGTGGCATATGAATAATAATTCTTTATTTTGAGCATATACATTGTAATTATCTTTTGTCTATGGCTTATCGTTTAACTTCACGAGATTACAGGATAGTTAACGAGATTATGTGCTCTCTTGAGAAAATATGGTCAAACACCTGACCTTAAAAATAATTCTTGAAGTGCTGTCCTTATCTTACCGGAATATCTTAAACTTTTTGTTCCATATATCATGATGTTAGTATGCATCTCATGGGAACTTAGTTGCTAGCCCAACTATGGGATCCCCAGCACACAGCTGATCCCAGATCAAGGCGATCCAATTAATCCAGCTTGCTCAGCCTCAGGCCAAATTCAGAGGCTGACCCACCAGTTATTTCAGGATGTGTCCCTGCTTCCCAGAAAAACTCATCCCTACCTCAAGCCCAGACCCCAAGACCCTCCTGATCGGGTGAGTTAAAGATTCAATGTCTTTCAGGTCTTGGCAGGGCTCAGGCTCATTCCGGAGGAGGAGGAGAGCCGCGTTTTTCAGACCAGCCGCACACAGGGCGGACTGATAACGGCTGAGGATTCGAGCTCCTGACAGCCGGCCCATTGTGAGAGCGGCTGGAAAGTCCGCCTCCGCTCTGATGCAGCCAGAGGCTCCGCCCCGCGCATGACGCCAGCGTCAGGCCAGTCCCGGCATGCTCCGCGGCCACCGGCGGTCGAACGCAGATGAGAGGAATTTTTCCCGTGAGCAGCCCCGGCTCAGTTCAGCTGGTGTCCAGACTCGGGTCTGCAGGAGTGCCGCCTCCAATCGTTTTCCTACCGCTCGCCCGTCAGTCTGAGCGCCCCCAGCCCTCCCGCGAGGGCGCCCCGGGACGGAAGGATCCACCAGCCTGTCGGCGCCCGCCGCTCTCGTGGTCGCCGTCGCGGTCGTCGTCGTGGTAGTCTCTGCCGTCGCCTGGGCCATGGCCAATTACATCCACGTCCCGCCCGGCTCCCCGGAGGTCCCCAAGCTGGACGTCACGGTTCAGGATCAAGAGGAGCAGCGCTGCCGGGAGGGGGCCCTGAGACTCCTGCAACACCTGCGGCCGCACTGGGACCCTCAGGAGGTGACCCTGCAGGTAACGCCCACACCTCCGCCCTGGGTCTTTCACAGCCCTAACGGGGCCCTGGCTGTTCTCACAGCCCCTTGTATTCCCGCATAACGGGAGAGAAGCGACGGGAATGTCTTCTCCCGCAGTCCTTTGAGATGTGACCGTGTATTTCCTCCTCACGCCGAGGAAGGTCACTCCCCCTTCTTTCACAGTTGCTTATTGAGGTAGCCCTGGAGGCATATTTTCTCTGTGGAAGCGGCCACGTAAGTGACGCACCCATTCCACGCCGCGAGGATTCCTGTTGCTAGTTGCCCCTCCTCCCACTCCCCTGTCCATTTTAAATGCAAAATGAACCTTTTCCCGCCCCTCCCCCTTGCCAGGGTCCTCGCCAGTCGGCCCGAGCCACCTTCCTCTACTCCTTCCGCAAATGATGCTGTAATTAATCCTCTCTGATCTTTTCCTTTCCCTTCTCTCCCCTCCCCCAGCGGTTTGCTCCGATTTATGCCTGACCCTGCGTTTTACCTTCTCAAATCCTCGAATTGGCGAGCCTACTCGATTCCAAATAACCATGGGTCGTGCATTACTAGATTGTGTTCTTAGGTAGCACTGCACACATTGTTGTAGTTGGAGCCATATTAATGAATTTTTTTAGTCGTATTAGTGAAATTAACTATATTATGTTACAATGACCAGTGGCTTGTGAACATTTCTTTTTCTTGCCCACCATATTCATAGACAAAAATTAGGAGAACAAATTCTTAATTAAGAATCTAGCCGTTTTCTAATAACTTCTAATAAGTTATGATTTAGTATACATGAGATTTATTTTGAATACTCATTTATTTTTAAGTTCTGGAGTTTGAGGAACCATATGAAAATGAGCCTCTTTTTGCCTTGCAAACACAAAACAAAATCATTTTAAAGGCTGAGATATTTGTGGTTTGTTTCAAATCGAAGCAATATTGTAAGACTATCACTTGAAGTAGCCAAATCATCTGCCTTATATTGTTGACTAATTTATTCTGCAATGTTATTAACAGTATCTCAGATTCTGTGCTAAAGCAGCCACCTATACAAAGATGAATAAAACATGAACAGTGCCCTAGGGCCCAGAACAGTTCCTGACACTCAAGCTTTCTTGCGTGTTAGTTTCAGTTCTTATTGCCTAGAAGAGTTTTGAGCAGATTAAAAGGACCCATATGTTGTGGAAAAACAACGGTTAGACAAAATTCTTGAAATTTTAAGGGAGTGTTTATTAGCTAACTATATGGTACATAGTGAATCCAAAATGATTTTCATGTGTAATTAAGAAAAATTAATAATGAATGAAGGAAAATTAAATTAATCAAAACACCAGACTTTAGTTCTTTATTCAGTAACTATTTTATTATAGAAGATTTTTATATTTGTCAAAATGATTTGTATTCTGTCAGTCAGTTATTAAACATATTAAAGTCATGCTACTAACTGGTGGTAGCAAACCAGTTACTTTTTAAGCAGAGATTTTAAAGTTTGAAGCTTTGAAGACTGGAGTTTCTGTTGGTGTATTTGTATGTAGAACAGTAATAATAGCTACCCTGAGGTACTGTGTGCCAGGTTTGGGTTAGGTGATCTATATTTTTTATCATTTTAGCTCCCCAAAATAATCATTTAGGCAGGTACTTTCCCTTTCCTTTTCTCTTTTTTTTTCAGTTTCCTTTCCTGTGAAACTCAGTAAAGCCAGGATATAGGTTAAAAAGAAGGGACAAAAATAGGATAAACATCAAATTGTTTTTGATTGTTGGCAAGTATTTAAGATTGAAACTTCTATCTTTGTAGCATCTTCTGACTTTAAGTCCTTTCGACTCATAAGCCAAACTTCCAATATACTTATTTGTAAGTGAAGGTAAATGTTACCACTTATTTTGCCTCAAGGATGATTATTAGTTAGAAATACCATCCTTCCATGTGCAAGCAAAGCTTTTGATCCAGAAGCTGGGACAACTACTAAGCTGAATAGATGGTTATTCATCTCTCAACTTAGATTTGACTCCCACCTTCCAGGTCATTACAAACTCTGCTTTTATGATACTTCAGGATTTACTTAGTAAATCTCAATGGGAATTTTTTTTTTTAAATTCGCTTTTATTTTTTTGAAATATAAAAATAAAAATCACGTTTCAGGAGTGGAAGTATGTATCATATAATCAACAGATTAAAACAGCCGGTATCAGTAACATATATAGCCTATTTCTTTTCAAAGATGTTTTTTCTAAAATTTTTATGTGATTTAAAATATGCTTTAAACATACCTTAGAAGCTTATTCTAGATAATATGTTTTTTACCTCGCAGTTACTCCTGCCAGCTGAACTATTCAGAGCATAACAGAATTTCCAAAAGCAAGCACAGAAGACTTGAATGCTCAAAGTGATAGAGGGCCAGTCTTTGCTGAAAACTTAGACACATGGAATAATATATCTCATTTTAGATAAGATTTTAACAAGTTTAATTATTTGTTTTTTCTATCTGTACAAGATTAAAAGAATAAAGTATAAAAGGGGTGGTGAGCTTTTTGGGGTGTAGTATCTTAGAATAGGCAGAGTAGGTATAAACAACAATACCAGTTGCATTGCTTTGTATTTAATAATATTTTACTGTTTATGAAGCCCAACAACAATGCTGTGAGGTAGATGTAGACGTTTAACATGTATTTTATAGTTAATGAAACTGAACTTCCACTTTATAAAATGGCAGGTCTGGAATGAGAACCCACCTTATGAATTGCTCTTGATCAAGAAAAGTTTATGTTCATATATTATGGTTAAGTCAGAGAAGCCATGTTTGTGTAAAATTAATTTCTTTTTTTAATTTTTAATGCAGTGGGTTTTTAATGTATGTCTCCATTTTTGAATACTTGAAAAATAGGCCATTCATAGTCTTTCCCATATAATTAAGAATTTCATTAGCACCATTAGCAAGTTATTAGCAGTGACTTGGAATTAAGTGTGTGTGTCATAATCTTTCCCCAAATAAAGGAATACAATTAATTTCTTAAAAATAAAAGCTTTGGCTCGTAAAAAGATTTTAAGTTCCCCTGAACATAAATTTGCATTACTTTTTACACATGTGACATTTTAGAAAAAGGATTCACTTCAGCTTTCCTTTAAGATAGTTACTCCTTTTGTTATGTAACAATTCCCTATCTTATTTGAAGATGTGGAATTTTAATTTGTCTCCATTTATTTGGATAGTCCTTGTATAAAGGAATAAAGAATCAGGTGAGCTCTCTAAGGCCCAACAGAATAATTCTCAGGAGACTCGTAAAATTATTTTTCTTTCTAAAAAAGTTGAATGAATCAGTGTTTGGAATATTCCAGTATGTTGTTTCTGGATCTTTCTCTGTGCAATGTTGGACAGTGTTTTTTCATTACTTGTTACTATGTGAATTTTTTTTAAAAATGTGGGAGCTATAGTAGATGATGGGAAAGGTAGGGTAGAAAGACCTTAATTATGATTAGGCATTTTAAAACGTTTATTCTTGTTACAGGATCTCAATGAGATCATTTGCTATATGTTACCTTATATTGACTTAGTTTTTCAATAAATTGTATATTATAGTGGTTAAGAGCATGGGGTTTGAACATAATGCTGGTTTTGAGTCCAAGCTTTGTACTTGACTAGATTTGTTATCCTGGTAAAGTTACTTAACTTTTCTAAGTCTCAATATCCTTAGCTGTAAAATGGATCCAAATGCTTCTACCTCAAAAGGTTGTTGTGAGAATGAAAAAATCCTATCTCTCATAATAATTGCTACTGAGCATCTACTGTGTATTGGATACCAGAATAAAAAAACAAAAAACACATCTCTTCTTTGAAATTCCCAGTCGATGTGCAATATAAATAAGAAAATAATTATAGTATAGTGTTTCTGGAATGAACGTTCAATTTTTATTTACATGTAAAGATTACACAAGAACATTTAAAAAGCATACTGTTCTGCTGTTCCACAAGTTTTTGTATGTTTTTGAATGCAGTTTTGAAACCTTAATATTACTTTTTTAAGTATACATACACTATGTTGGAAACCAATACTTGTTAGGTTGTGTAGCTATGTAGCAGTTTTTATATCCCCTTGAAGTAGCTACTGAAATATTCTATTAAAAATCTATAACACCTTTTATTTTACTATTGACATTTAAGTCAATATTTTTAAATGAGGACTCAAAAGCCGAAAACATAGTTTCTCAATTAAATTGTGTCTCCTTTAGTGTTCTAATTTAGCAATTAATTTTCCTTCCCATTTTTAAAAAGATGAGTTTGTTCCTTACTTTATATGATAGGAGTTTCTGAAGAGTCTTAGATAAATTTAAGTAATGTATTAAGGGTACCAGAAGGATACAATATTCATAGGAACCTTGAGTCCTATAGATACATATAAAGGGTCATAGTTTTTATTAAGCATAACTTTTAATATCAGTGATTAGGTCCAGTTTTCTATTTCCTGCGTGTTCTCTCTCTCTCTGTCTGTCTGTCTCTCTGTCTCTGTCTCTGTCTCTGTCTCTGTCTCTCTCTCTCTCTCTCTCTCTCTCTCTCTCTCTCTCTCTTTATAGTTTTACAATAATGCATTCAAGTGAGTGATAGGACCTAAGAATATATTGACTATGGCTAAGAGATGTATAATGTTTGATGTATAATCTTTGGCTCCTGTCAAAGATATACAGTGTTTGATAGGTTACCATATGTTTTATTAAGATGTGACGAAAAAGGAGCCTAACGTGCTAGTTCATTTTCAGGTATTAACAGCTGTGTGACTTGGACTAAGCAAACCACTTCACCTCTCTTTGGGGCCTCACCATAATGTGGTGGAAAGGATGATTTTTGAATCTTGATCCCAGCCATTTGTAACTTTTGGCATGTTTTTAAATCTCTGTAAAATGGGATTACTGTCTACCTAGGAAAATAATAGAAGAGTAGAAAATAGTAGAATTTTGCTACTATAGTACTACTTTACTACTATACCAATAGTAATTTTACTAATACAAATTTT